GAAGAGCCTTATGGTTCAGATTGAAGTTTGTATTGTTCCCTTGTTTAATAAGCTGTACTTCTAATTATGGGGGGAATCTAATCAGGATTCAGGTAAGAGTGAGATAAAGGTTCTTATGAAAGAACTGTATTTTAATGCTTTTAAGTTATTTATACTTTGTTCCTATCCTTAGTGAAAAAATTGGTAGTTTAATATACATTCAAAGATTTTATATTTTTCACTAAAATTTTACAGTATAGAATTTATTAGATGAAAAATTCAAACAAGAAATACCTTACCAGTATTAAAATCATCTTAGCTGCTTAAAAGTCATCACGTACAACATGAAAATGTTATAATTGGTTTTTGAACTTTATTTCCAGATCATAACAATGGATCATTTAACTTGAAAGCTCTATCAGGAAGCTCTGGATATAAGTTTGGTGTTCTTGCTAAGATTGTGAATTACATGAAGGTAAGTACTTTTCTCAAATAACAAAATTCCTATTTAACTTTTTGGCAAAAGAAGGGAATTGGGATTTACAGAAGCTAAATTTGTATACACATGTCAAAATTTATCAAATTATACATGTTCAATATGTGCAGTTTATTGTATGCCGATTATACCTTAAGCCTTTTACATTGTTAAATCAGCACTGCACCAAGTTACTGGAGTTGGTTGGTTGATTGAGAGAGCCAGGGTCTTACTCTGTCTCCTGGGCTAGGGTGCAGTGGCCTTATCACAGCTCACAGCTCACTGTAACCTCAAACTCCTGGGCTCGAGAGGTGCTTCTGCCTCAGCCTCCCAAGTAGCTGGGACTACAGGCATGGGCCACCACACCCAGCTAATTTTTCTATTTTTGTAGAGACAGGTCTCACTCTTGTTCAGGCTAGTCTCGAACTCCTGGCCTCAGGCAATCCTCCCACCTTGGCCTCCCAGAATGCTGGAATTACAGGCGTGAGCCACCACACCTGGCTCTAAGTGTATTTAAGTTATATTACTTCCGGTACACAATTTAAGCCCACCATTTCGGTTAATAAGGGTTCATGCCCAGGCAAGTAGATATATCATCTCTTAATTAGTCAATATCTGCTGGGCTAGCAAAACCAATGGGAAGATGTGAATTAATTTTTAGGGTATTACTTCTATTGATATGAAAAGTAGAAACTATATAGTTCAGGCAGATGGTGGTGACAGCTTCTCTACATATTGGAGGAGAAAATTAGACATTTACTGAGGATCTTAGTAAAACATTGACTCACAAAAGAATTAGAATTTAATATTTGATGGAAGATTTAACATATTTTGAATACTAAATTTTGATCATCTAAGATTTTGGCTTTACTAAAAACTTTGAATCTTAACTTTATTTATTAAAACGTAATTTCATTTATGGCCGAGAGAGCTAAGTGATTTCAAATTTGCTCCCTTCTTCTGCCAAACTCTTATTCCCATTTAATTACTAGTCGAATCTCTTGAAGTCAAAGACCAGCACTGTATTTGTTATTTTAATTTCATCTATCTACTGCTTAAAATATGAATCAGATTTTTAAGCTGAGGCTTTTCTTTTGTAATTTAAGAGATGTGTCTGGCTTCGTCTGAATTCTGTGGTTTGTATTTGATTTCTAGTATAAATATGTTTCTAATTTCCCATTAAATAATATACTTGGACACTTATATATTTACCATTTTTATTCCCTCCATCCATTTCCCCCTGTGGTAAACAGTTATTAAAATCTGTTTGCTATTTATAGTGATGGGAATAGCCAGGAAAAAATGCATGTCCTGGAGGCTCTTGTCTATTGAAGGAGACTGACATTTAAGAGTCATATTTTTGCTATTCTGTTAACATAGTCTTCACTTATCTAGATGACTCTATAATTTTTTTCTATCTAGAACAATGATCTTCAGATTTTTTACTCATGTCCCCTAAGACAGTTTTTTATTTTTATTTTTATTTTTTTTGAGACAGAGTCTCGCTCTGTTGCCCATGCTCGAGTGCCATGGCGTCAGCGTAGCTCACAGCAACCTCAAACTCCTGGGCTCAAGCAATGCTACTGCGTCAGCCTCCCAAGTAGCTGGGACTACAGGCACGTGCCACCATGCTCGGCTAATTTTTTCTATATATTTTTAGTTGTCCGGTTAATTTCTTTGTATTTTTAGTAGAGACGGAATCTCACTCTTGCTCAGGCTGGTCTTGAACTCCTGGCCTCGAGGGATCCTCCCTCTTCGGCCTCCCAGAGTGCTAGGATTACAGGCATGAGCCACCGCACCCGGCCCCCTAAGACAATTTTGAAAAACTGTGTACCCCTTTGCACATACTTAACTTGGTAACTACACTATTTTAGCAAAAGTTTACTGACCAGAAATACGGAATTTCTGGCATATTGTAATACTTCAGTAAAATATATCACTTTGAAATTTAATAGAATCTAAATGACATTATTAATTTAAAAATATAAAAAGAAACTTCTTTAATGATTGGATATTTTAATTATTTTGTCTTTGAGTTTGTATGCCCTTTCTGTTTCTCCCCTTGAATTTTTGATTATCAGACTTCTCTGCCACAATAATGAGTGAGTAAATTGAAATTAAAGATGTTTTTCCTGTGACTATAAAGCTTGACGTGTTAAAAATACCTTCTGGTTTGAGTTATTTTTACAATTAATGCATAGTTGATTAGAATAACATACATAGATTAAAATTTTGATTAAATTTCACTTTGTATGTAACAGAAATCCATTCTTTAATGAAATAAATATAGCTGTCTCCCTCTCTTCCTCTAATAGTTCTTATATTTGGAGGTGTATATTCCTTACTGCTACAGTGGAATTTGTTACCAAATCTGTTCCCGTATTTAGATTTTGTGGTTTTAAGTTATGAGAAATGCATGTTCATAGTAAGTTCAATTTAATGGAATTAACTTATTAATGGACGTTTTGCAATATCAAAATCTTCCAAGTTATATACCAAAAGTCACTTAGTGGTTTTTATCATCAAGCATCCATCAGTTGACAGTTCTGTTAGGTCCTCGTGCGGTTTTGTTGAAAGCAAAAGAATGGAAACCACCTGACTTCGCAGAGGATTTGTTACCTGATCCTTAACTGTTTATTTTCTTAGCTTTTAGGAAGTATATTAAAAAGGCTTTACCAAGACTTATCAAAGGTCTAATTATGTCAGTTCCCCTCCTTCCCCTCATAGGCACTTTCTTTATTCTGATATACTCAGAAGCAGTTGAGAAAATAAAAATATTAATTTCAGTATACCTTTGCTAAGGCATTTTTTTGATAAGATGCTTTTATGTGTTTAAATATATTTTTGTCAAAACCTTCAGGATAAAGATTTAGCTTATTCAATTTATGGAAAGTATCTCCTCGTTAACAAAGTCAGTCTCCATTGTCAAACCAAGCAGCCATATCAAATTTGCTTAATATCACAAAATATGTTTTATTTTTAAGTTCGAATAAATGGGTTAATACATATTTTGGATAATATAAAAACCACTGATAAATAAATTACAGAATGCACACTAAAAAATATTACTAAGGTATTTGTGATGAAAATTATATGGCTCAAATAGAATTACAGTAATTTATCAATTTTTATAATAATTTTTAAAACAATTATCTGCTGCTTATGTTGCATTGCATCATTATAAGTTAAATAATAAAATATATATGAAGCAAGGGATATGATAAAAGTATGTTACCCTTTTTAAATGTGTGTGCCTGTGTTTTCTGATCTCCAGTGTCAGCTATTAGGTATAAATAAAAGAGATGATTCAGAAATAACTTGGTACATTTTTATTTTGGATAATTAATGAAAGAGAATGATACCTACTGCTAAAAACTAATCAGTGTTACAGCTAGGGTATAACTTATTTTTATTAACAGATAGGAATATCAAACTGTTTAAAAGATGTAATGAGAATCGACTAATTAGAATAAAAATTTCATGATATGATTTTACCAAATAGGCTTTAACTACTGTATTGAATAATGCACACTCAATCTAAAATAGTTCCTGTACAGTTTCTGTCTGCGTGTTTTATGTAGCATAATTTGAATGGTTTGGTACCCCTGGAAAAGATTTCTGTTATATTTAAAGGAATCAGCCTCCTTAATTGATATTGTTTCAGATCTTTAATTATGCTTTTTGTTCAGGCTAATAAATATTCAAGTATGTGTTTTGAAAATTACCGAAGATAATTATTTATATTTAAATTCTTGAAAAAAATTATTTTTATCATTAGATTTTTTTTTTTTTTTAACCAGTGTTCTCTTTGCTTTTATCAGACTCTCCCTCTAAGAGTAATGCGTTCTTGGACAGCACTGAGTGCACATGGGGATGTGCGGAGATGGGAGAGATGAAGTTGTTTAAAGGGAAACTTTAAACAATTGCCCACAAATTATATTAATGATATATGAGAATTTAGAATGTTCCAGCAAAGTTCAAAATATCCTATTTTTAACTCTTAGAAATACGTAAGACTGGAAAAGACAAGAAGTCCTATAGTGGATAGTTTATGGCACCTCAGTTATTATTTATGAAGGCTTCCCCCAAACAGTATTTTTTTTTTTTTTTTTGACTTTAGCTTTTGTTTGGGTCCCTGGAATTTATTAAACCTTCAGGCAGTGCATCATAAATTCTGAGTGTAAGTGAAAGTTGTACCTTTTGGGGGGCAGGGGTTGTGACGAGGAGAGGGCCTATGTGGAAAGGCAAAAAGTACATGTGGAAGGTATCTGTAAATTAATTCTTGGAAAGTCTCCACTGTCCCCAGTATGCCCTTAGAAAGCAAAAGAAAGGTAACAACAAAAATGCTCCTCAGAGTTTATTCATTTACTTATAGGGGAACTCTTTAATTGTTCAATGAGGATTATTTATAAACCACATGGAAGAGCCATCAGGAAACTGAGATAGGTACAGTGAAATTTACAGCAAGAAGTGATAACTTTAGAGAAAGTACTGCACAGGAAAAAAAAATTAAAGGCAAATACAAGAACTTCAAGGTCATAATACTGAGAACATTTGGCATGGGGACAGACTGCCCAACACATCTCACGAGCTTCTGAGGTGGTTATTGTTATACCATAGCCCAGTAATTTACATTAAAACAGTAACCGAGACATCAAAAAAGATTAAATTATGTTCAGTGACATGTTTAAGAAGATAGAGGAAGTTTAGGGTCCATCTTAGAAGGATTTTCGTAGAAATGATTAATGTTGTAAGACAAATTTTATTGCATAAAGGAATGTCTTAAAAGCACTCCAGATTTTCTTGAAAGTTTCCTTATGAAGGACGCCTCTTTCTTCATATAAGACACTAGTTCTTAGATGACAGATTGGGGGTGTACTTTGTTTATGAAAGAATGATTTTTCTCTTGATCTCACCCCTCTATGTGTATGTGTCTCAGTTATGTATAACATTATGTTGAAAAATTCGGTTAGTTTGGTTTATTCTAGTTTAGTGTTGCT